TTCTCTATGTTTACTTCTATTTCTACTTATCTTGAATCCTTTGGAGCCTAAGTTTTTCTACAATAGTCTAGTTTATTATTGACCCTAGTCTAATTGTCCTATGCTAAAGACCCAATTTATTATTAATTTTTAGTCTTGCAGATCCTCAAAATGGAATTGGTTTTGGATTTGAGCACTACAGCTTCTCTCATACCCAATCTCCATACCTTCTTCCAAACCAACATACATCTAATTCAACTATTTCAACATGCAACGAAAAACGCTAGCTGGAATAGTAACACAGATTGAACGGTAACATGCAGTGAAAAATCAAATTAGTATACAGTCAGCTGCAACTTAATACAATTAACCAAAAGAGGGTGAAAAGAAAATCCAAATACAACAGAACCAGCTTTGTCCTAATGGGATTGTTTAGGAAGAGTGCAACTCTAGCCAGAGGAATCACCAACATTCCTGAGAGTTACGCATGCCCAAAGTTCTCAATTATTTCCGAAAGAATTACATATCCTGCACCTCCCATAACAAGAGAAAGGGTGAGCCTTCCTCCAGGAACCAACTGGGGTAGTTTCAGAGACTCGGCGGATGAATCTGAGTACCGATCTGACCAAGACATTGCAGCAGGAAGAACTCCAAACAGCACCAAAACTACAAAGGGAACAATTTAACCCTGTGAAGGCTGATCTAAAATACTACATGGGCAGTAACAGGATAAATGAAGTTCAAACATAGTCCACAGTTCATATTTTTGAATTACCAATGGAGAATTTTCTGAAAAAAACTCACTGGCAAAACAAAATTCGTCAAGTTAAATCCAAGGTGCACCCTGCTTTTTACAGGTAGCTTTCTCACACCTATTTAGCTAGTGAGGCAGTGGTCATAGCTAACATTCGTCGAAAGGATAAAAAAGAAATAAAAGAAATATAAGTTTTGTATTTGTTTCAATCCAAATAAGAGAATAAAGAAACCATTCAGAAATGAAAGAAAGATCAAAAAAGTTTCAATAAGAACTAGCACTAGACTAAAAGAGTTTCGCTGGTTGCAACCTCTTAGGTAGTCCAAACTTCAATAAACCTAAGTAATTAATTTGAAAAGATAATTCAAGATTTTCTAAGAACTCAAACACAACATACCTCCATAGGTTCCAGCAAAATCCAATGCTTTGAAGAAAATCTCTGGATCTAGCAATGATAAGACCAATGGTGGAATTAGAGTCAGTAGGTATGTCAGAGGCCTGCTATGTCCAGATGGGATTTTCAGCACTGCAAAACATTGAGAAAAAAAATAGCTAGTTAAACTGACAAACTACTTTCCATTGAACGAGGCAAACATTTTGTAATGGTATGTTCTATGAGATGTCGCTTATTGGTTAGTTATAACTTATAACTATGACAACCTGATCCAATGGAGCAAGAAATGTTTCTGTCAAGGCACACAATGTTTGACTTGACCATGTGAGCTAGCTTTCCATACAAACACATCAATGATCATCGACGTTTCCTCGCATACACAGAAACAACACAATGGAATGGGATGTCCAGGCCTTCAGATTATGAGGAATTCCAAGTTCATTGCTCTGTATATATGTGGAACTCTGAAGTTTGAGAGATGCAAAAATCATATTTTTTTACCATGATGGGATGGCCTAAAATGGCCAAAAATACAGGTGGACAATTTCATACAATACAAACACGCCGTGATAGAAGTCCCAAAAAGGCCAAATCTATAAAACACGACTGCTTGAACCATGGCAACTTCCAGATATAGCTTCTTGAGTAAATGAAGGCGCAAAGAGACCTGACATACCCATCTCAAAAACAGATAATAAGAGGTGAAAATAACAATATAGCTATGACCATAATCAGGCATGAGCCCATCTCCCCCCCAACCCCAAAACAGAAACAAAGGAAGGGTACTGGTAACACTTTGCTAGCACCAATGTAACAAGTACCAGTATTTATGATAACTAGGTCTACAAGAGATGTTGATCTCAAATTTATTTTTTGGCACACCAATAAGATTTATATAGAGATAATATACACTTAAAGATGACAAAAAAAAAATGTATAAAGGTATACATATATCTGTACAAAAGAACACGTGTATCAGTTTGTTTGTCCATATGAAATCGTATAAAGGAGCCTAAATAAACATGCATACATGATTAGGTGGATATGGTTATATAGGCGTACAAAAGCACCTAATAAGTAGATTATAAGTAATCATTTGTCTACATGTATAGGAAATTTTACATATGCACGGTCATATATGTGCAAACATATATTAATGTAATGGCAGATGGTTGGCAAGGTCAAATAAAAAAATTAAGTTCTTTGTATAAAAGACGAGCCTTTTGCTTTTACCAACTAAAAGTACTTTTATGTGAAATACTGCTACTTTTTACCTTTCTATGTGAATAAGCAACGAGGGATTGTAAAAAAAAAGGAGATTGTATGGAAAAAAATGGAAAATGGGCCATAATATTGAATTGATGGAATGAATAAAGAAACAACTCACAGTCAGTAAGGAAGTCGGAAAGGCCCAGAACAAAGCCGATATAAGAAGTTCCAATAGCGAGAAGTGAAAATACATCCACAATTGACTGCAAAATATGTTCATCAACAACAGAGATATTAGTGTTGGAAAATATTAAAGATATCGAAATATAACATAATTGAACAACATTGCAGAAAAAAGTTGAACTGAATGACTAACCCCAACAACTCCATTTGTAGACCGCAATTGTTGTAGTGGGTCAGCAATCTTATCTGAACTTGTTTCAAGGTTTGTGAGTGACCCGAGAATAACAGCATCCCAGACAAGAAACAGAGCAAGGGGAATAGCCGTGCCTAGAACAATTGCAGTCCTGCAGATTGATAGAGTAAATAACATCTGAGAAATAACAAACCCGATGAGGAAATTAAAAATATTAGTTCTTACCCTAAGAATGAATATCAAAATAGCAAGCAGGAAGGGAAAGTCAAATCCCCTAAATAAATAATATACCCTCCCATGGATTCAACAAACAACTCTACATTTAAGCAAACAAATGTCTCATTGGGGTAAAACATATTTGTGCAGTCTCCATGATGAAAAAATATATGTGGGCTACTTCAAAGTTTGATTGTAACCTGTCCCATGCAGACTTTTTTTAACCAACAGACTACAAATTATACATCATTAATTGTCTGTACAAAAACATGATCTATCAGTGTGTAATTATATCAAGGTGTCAAAGTAGTGGTTATCAGACCATGAGTGACTGCAAATCTCTGCTTGAATGTGAGATGAGTAGGCACTCATTCTAATTTCTCTTTGATTTTTCATCAGAGTGGCCCTGATGGATGATTAAAAGACGCCTCACTTAACACTCGAGTCACTTCACACTTGAATTCTGAAAGACTAAATTTTAAATGATCGTTCAGGATTCAAAGGAAGAACTGTCACTTCCATTTTATTTACATCAGTATTCCCAAGCAGTATAAAGATTTCTGTTGTTAAATATACTCCTTATTATATCCCTTCAGATGCTATACAATGATAACTACTATTTCAAAATTATAACTTGAAGACCAACAGTTTCTACGTAAGAATGCATCAAATTGTCACTTTGCTCTTCCATAGTTAATCTTAGGTTAAAAAGAAGCATAAAATTGTTCTTATAAACAATACAAGAATTTACCTTGGCCATAATTTCTATTGCCCTCACTCATGCCCTATGTCTACAAAACACTGTCTAGAGGTGTAATCATTGGTGTAAATATAGGAATGCAGCATAAGGCAAAGATAATCCATCAAGGATAAGGGAAAGATGAGCTAAGTCTGCAATAGACCAAGTTAATTTTTGGGCAAATTATGGATTACCCCCTTGTGGTTTGTCATGTTTACACATTACCTCCTTAGAGTTTTAAAACCTACACATAACCCCCAAATGTTTTGGACCAATGTGAAAATGTTTAATTTTCCATCCCACTTGACAGGAAAGTCATCCACGTGCCTGGAAATGAAGTTGGGAGATGCTTCCCATCAAAATTGATAATTTTAATGCCCAAGATACCCTTTTGTACAAAAAGTTCTCACTGTCAAATGCAACTTGACTTGTGTGGAAGACAAGTACACAACTTGACTTCTTGTGATTCCTTAATGGTTGATGTCTGTGCATGAGTTTTCATGGACATTTATAAGAGGAGCACACACACAATTTTAACCAGTCTTGCAATGAGTTATCTTCTCACATACTATTTTTAATTTATTATAATTAAAGTGTCAATTGATTGATTAATTATTTATCACCTAATTTTTATAAATTATAATTTTTTCTAAACTTAAATTCAATATCTTTTTTTAATCTGAATCCATTTTTATTCAATTATTTTTTTAAATACACAAGAAATACACACATAATGACAAAATATATTAAGTTTGAGTAGTTTATTATTCAATAATTGTGTAGAAAAATAGTACCATCTTGTAGAGCATATATTCAATGGTGTCTTACAACTGTATAATCTTCAGTTGTGTGTGTGTGGGTCTATATGTGTTGCATTCATGTGTGTCCTGTGGGGGTGCGTGAGTTGTGTGGGGGTATAGAGGAGGGGGTGGGGAGTAGGAGTTGTTTGGTCATAGGTGTAAGTTTGTTCAATTAAAACAAAAACGGTTAATCTAATCCAAATAAGGAATAAGGGGTGCTTGAATGAAGAGTAAATAAGTCATTTTCACATATTCCATTAGTTTGGATGGAAAACTTAACGGTTACTGTTCAGTCTAAAACCAGAGGGGGTTATGTGTAGGTTTTCAAAATTTAAGGAGGTAATGTGTTATAATAACAAAGCACAAGGAGGCAATTCATAATTTGCCCCAACCTGACATAGCTTTTCTAGTTTGATTATAATTAAAAAATAATTAATAGGCCAGGACACATTACTCTGACATTGGATACAATCTGAAAATGGTTGGATACCCATAATTAGAATCAGATTCCTCCTTGGACAAACTTTTTCTTATTTTGAACCAATCCTATCTAGAGACAAACTCAACAGGTTTGATTGAGCAATCTAATAACTACTACTCTCATGCTTGTTTATTCCAGAAACCACTCGTAAATATATTTTTTCTTAAACTTCACTTTCTCCTGTCAACCTTCGCAACATAATTGATTACTTACTATCCTATCAAATTCAGATTTCTCTTTCTCTCAAATTACAGGGAGAAGAGCTCCCAATGCATGGGATGGAGAGGAGATGAGTCACCATTTTCCAAACAGTTTGGACAACAGTGATGATCTCCTGATAATCCACCTTAACGCAACATATCAACATAATGGTTGCAGTGAAGGCAATCAACATGTTTGAATTATGAACTATAGGACAAAATTTCTGACACTGGTTCTGAAAGTAATGTTTCCAGTCTGGCTTAATAGTCACATCCTTTTTTGCATTCTGGCTGGCTATCATTAAAAAATACCAGTTGCATTAAGTCAAGAATGAGAGGAAGGCTGTGATAGTCGCCAACAGTTCTTTAAGATCATCATCGCCAATATTCAATTGCAACAAATTAATAATCAGAAAACTCCCTCTGTGCATTATCTACTTCATTACCAAATGAAAAAATGATAAGATTTTCACCTTACTTTTGACAGGTTTCCTTCAAGATTCGTACAAATAACAGGCACTACATTCTGTAATAAACCAAAATTTAAATGACTTGATATAAAATCAGGGTAACCTATAACTGTTCTGTACACATTAATTGAATCAAGGCTGGTTTTGTTACCTGATAAACGAACGATAAAGCAATTATGGGTATACTAAGAGGAGCAGCTTCAAAGTTTGCTTTCAGAAGAGCATCCCAGTGCAAGTCACCACTTGCAACTGCCTAAAGAACAAAATGTCTAGCTAATGCAATATGGGAGAAAGTAAATAAGCCAGAAAGTAAAAACATTTCATGAACCTTACCATAAAGAGGAACAAAAATAATAGATGGATAACAATGCAACAACGTTGCTGGTTTTCTAATGCTTCAAATTAGTAATATTAAATGCTTCCCATGATAATAGGTGTTATTGCAATTTCAAAATTAATTTAGTATTCAATAAAGGATTAAAATAGGAGCAATTATGACACTTGATCATGGCTGAGAACTATTCAATTTAATTTTTTTCTCACTTAAGGTGGGCTTTTAAATGCAAAACCACTTCATCCATATGAATGTCTTCGCCACACCACTCAAGTGCTGTCAAATAAGAGCAGATCACTTGCGATAGCTGGAAGTTCTGTTGTCAACAGTTCAAGAGGTCCAGCGAAAGAGTGAGGTAAAGAGTTCAGTCCTTGGAACTCTGCCATGGTGCTTGATTAAAGGTCACTGGACCTTTAATATAAAAAAGGGTCAATATACCATGCAAATGGGTTGGGTCAGTATAGGCGGGATCACAGGCTCAGCCAGACCTATCTCGTGGTGGTGAGACAGGTCTCACAGGAAAACATACTTGGACGAGTCCCAAATAGAGATGTGCCTGGGTGGGTCCCACAAAGTGAACAAGTTATTATGGCTTCCCCATAGCAACATGCTTGGGTGGGTCCAACAGGGGACGGGCTTGAGAAGTTTGACATGCCTGATCAAGTTCACAAGGGAATGTGAAGCTCTTTTGGGGAGTGGATTGTGACAATCAAAGGTTCAGCCATTCCACAGTCCAAGAGGTTCAGGAAGAGTTTAAGATGAGGAGGTTGGTGAGGTGTCTGATCCATGTATCTGTCCCACATTGTCGGGTTAGAGAAGGTCACTGAGCTATATGTAAATGTTCTAACTAAACCACAGAGATGTATGTTTTAGTCTGTGAGAGGCAACCCAAATCAACAGTATCACATGCGGTTGGGCTACGTGGTTACATCACCTACATATCCTAAAAACATGATAAGAAACCCTGGCAGAATTCTCCTATAATTATTGTTTCTCGTCACTGTTGGACATAGTGCATAAATAGATTGTGAAAAATTATTCTTTTATAAAAACTTAGTTCAAAAGAATTAGCAACCACAATTCACTAAAAGTTCTAGACATGAGTTTAAGTATTATCAAATAGTCATTACATGAAGTTCTAGCCATGAATGGAAGTATTGTTTAATAGTCATGCAAAACAACATTATATGAACAATATATAGCTGATGAAGAATGGGAATTACCACAAGAACTGTGAAAGAAATGACGATACCAAATACTAGAACCCCATTTACTGCTCCGATAAGCCGCTGGCTGTAATAAAACAAAATTGGGAGTCATTTTAACAGTTACATAAAGATATCCAAGGTTATGGTTTCTCACTTCCTAAAGAAGATCTGATTCAGAGTTAATTGACTTTAAGGAAAGGGAACGTATGCACAAAGGGAACATATGTCATTTCATCCTCATACTCAACTACATCATCTTATTCTATGGGAATAAATTTTCGCTTTGAGATAAGTCATGGATCTTATAATCTGGATCTAGGTATTTAAATAGAATGAGTTTCCAAATAAAAAGTTTTTGCTTTGTGACAGATAGTTTGACTTGTTTCCTAAGCCCGATGGAAAATCATTGGGAGGCCAAAAATGCATGCACACATATTGGTGTAATCAAGCACACACACATTGGTGTAACCATGCAAAAACAAGGAAGCTACTCAATATTTCTGATCCCAATTTAAGCCATTTTATTAATTAACCAAGGACAACCATACTCCATAACCACATTGATGAGGCTGATCGAAGTTACCCCCCCCCCCCCCAAAAAAAAAAAAGTGAATAATTGAACTTTGAATAGATAAGAATTAAACAAAGTTTTTAAAACAAAAGGATTTAGAAAACAAAACCAACCTTCCGAAGAAGCAGATACCTCCAAAAAGCAGTGAAAACAAGGTCGCGCTTTCCCATCTGCAATCATAATGCTATCCATCAACACCTATCAAACATATGAAAGCACTTGTGTTTTAATCACAGATGTGCTACCCAAACTACAAGCCCCAAGGTGGATGCTACATTAAGGAGAAAATGAGTGCAGTAAAAATTCAATTTTGTCGCTATGTCCACACTGCATACTTCATAACAGATAAACATCAAAGTTCAGAGAGCAAACAAAAGATGAAATGTTTTGAAAGCAGATTTTTGAAGCATAATCATTAATTTTGGAGTGAGGGGCTGCAAATAGGATAAAGCTTGCAGTCAAGGATGGAACTGTTTGAGCATCCAACTCAAAACAAATTGGCAATAAGTGGAGAGGCCCCTTAAGCATATAAACCAGGCTTAGGTGATCCTAAATATTCAATGTAGGATATAAACACTCTTTACACTCTCCCTCATATGGGACCAGGGTCGCATATGGGGCTAACAAACATCCATATCGGGAAAGTTAAATGGATAAGAGACTTGACCTGCTGACCCAACTCTAATACCATTTTAGAACATCCAACATTCCAACTCAAAACCAATTGGCAACGAGGTGAGAGCCCCCTTAAGCTTATAAACCAACCTTAGATAATACTAATGATTCAATGTGTGATATGTGTGATACAAGCTCTCTTTACAAGAAACACAATTCTAGACTGAGGGAACTGAACAGTGTCATAGCTAGAAATTTTATTATGAGATCATTGATAAGTTGTCGTTAAGGTCAATTTTTTAATTGTAATAGAACCTATACACATATACTGAGAGAAGTCAGAGAAAGAGCACAGAGTCCTATGCATTATAAGCCCCCATCGCCCCCGAGACTAGAACATAGAACTACCTAACCTTTTTGAGACTTTCACCCACTACGCCTTTGCCACTAGGCCCCAATTATTATGTATTCTTAAGGGCCAGTGCATTCCACTAAATTGAGCCATTTCTTGAAGTACCCTACATGTAATTCTTTTGAAACCATGAGAAGGGTCATGGACCCCTGGTCCTCAAGGTAGTTCTTTGATTGTCCTGCTCGCAACCATCCCCATTACATAGGAAATTAAAGGTACCAAATATGAAATATCTAACCGGTTTGGTAGGAACCGATATATTCAATCTTGGCAGGGGTGATCTTTTCCAATCTTATAATCATAGGCTATTTAATTGCCATCTCTTAATGTGCCCCTATGAAGAAGGATCTTTTCTATGAACAAAAGACAGAAATGTCCTTGATGTTATGCTTGGTACAAATATGGGGTTGGATCAAGAATAAAGGGCAATTTCACATATCGATGGGCACATTTAATGAGGGAAGACTTGTAATCATGTACATAAGTGCTTACAATTAACTGATAACTCAGCTAGATGGGTTTCAATCAAAGAAGGCAGAAGCAGGTTGTTCTTCGATTTTCTTCTCTGTTCTTTTCAATGTCTCTCTCTTATTTGGCAAAGAAAACAAGAAAGTTCTGTTGAACTGCCCTCAGACACTCAATTTAGGAACTCTGCTCTTTACGTTCTTGTAACATACTTTAGGCAACTGACCGAGATTATTGGGCAAACGAGAGGGGAGATACAAGTCAGCTCCGAATGATCCTTCTGTCTCACATATGCTTTTTCAGATGGCATGCCAGTTTTTAAGATGAATTGCACTAGAATTGGTGCTGCCAAATTTAAGATGTCATCCAAATGCTTCCTGTGCCCAAGACAAATACCAAAATAAGCATGGAGAGGGGGAGGAACCTGACACATATGGCATCTAATGCTAGGGATAGAGGTTATGGTGTGGTACACTTTGAAGTATTGAAAATTTGAAAGAAAAAAAAAAGAAGAGGAAAAAAAATAGTTATTCCTGAAAAACTTCAGATTTAAGATGATTTTGTCAAAAAGTAATTCTTCACCAAAAGCACTAAAACTCATGTTAGCCCTAGTAATGACAGGGTAAATTTTTGGTTCAAGACAATGAAAATATGAAAAATTGTGCCTTGCACACGAACTTGTAGTACCAGAGTAATCCCAATTACAATTGCCAGCAAATGGAAATGTTGTATAATGAAGACTAATCACTTCAATAGAGGCTCGATTGATACAAAGTAAATGAAAACTATTAACACGGTAATTTTTTCATCCCAATTCTTCAAACAAGTGACCAATAGTAGACCCTGCAACCCATTTGTTCTACCTCAAAAATAATTAGGATAAGTTATGTTTTACAGCCATGTGATTTGACCAAGTTGCAAGTAATCTCCCTATGCTCTAGAAACATACATTTAACCTCTGTGAGGTTAAGGACTAATGCGCAATACTTAACAGGGGTGATGATGCATCATGAAAAGACCAAGTACCCTTGCACAGTTTTTGTTTTTCCAAATCATTTTCTCACAAAAGAACAAATCCATATATCTTTGGATGTATAATTTCCAAAGAAAAATTGTGAAAAGTCAATGTTTGTAAATAAGAAAAAATAAACCTTCATCAGGGCATATAGGTTATTTTTCTTCATTTTAGATAAAATTTTGACTTTGGATGGTTGAACTTCATTTTCAAAGGAAAAAGTAACTGTTTCGCTCAGTGCATGGCACCAATTGGATTATGTACATATATCTAGCACAAGGAGCCAAATGGGGTAAATGCAGTCTGCCAAAAGGCGCAAAACAATTATGATACAGCAATTTTTGCCTGCCTAGAAAAATCATTGATGAACAGTTTGCTGATATTGTCCTACAGCAATCAACCAAATGAGTGATTTACCAAAAACAAAGGCTTTCTTCACCTAATATATATATATATATATATATATATATATATATATTACAAATTAAACCAAGCAGAAGCCAAGAGCTCTTTCCTTCAGCATTAACACCAATTTTATTCGTTATCAATAAGCTGGAAGACTCCATAACAAGAAAGTTGAATGCATGATGTTGGTCTTCTCCTTTAAGGTCAAAAAGCAGGAAATTGTACTTAGATTTCAGTCTATACTTGATTATATTTTAGGTGAACTTAGTTTGACAGCGTTTATAGAAATAAGTAAATAGAACAACAATATGATTTCACTCAAAATTTCAGATTATAATATGAATTTTTTGGGCACACCAGAAATAATTACTTCAGCATGATTCAGATGGCATGATAAAAAGGATGCAAACAAAATATAGATATCTTAATAATCTCTATCATCTGTTGACTGTTGTAGCTTAATGCTTCATATACAAGAAATTATTTAAACTAAATAATAAGTGAAATTTCTTATAATAAACTCACTCCCTATGTTGGAAGGAGTTCCTATGACTGCTCAAGGAATGAAAAGCAAACAAACAAGACATAATGATGAATGCCACATGGATAGAGCACATTAGTGAGGTTGACTTCCGAAGATTGAAATTCGCAATTGCCTCAAATGCATGGAATTTGTCAGATCACGAAAGATGGATAGTATCATGATTTACAGAAATTATCAAGAAAGAGAACCATGCAATCAAAATTGATAATGACTCCTCTGGATTTATATCTGGACAGAATAGTTCAAAAACTTAATACAATACATGCATCAAAAAACACAGGCTACTCAAAAATTCATAACAGGAAAGCAAAATTGTAGTTCATACAGTGGAATGCCGAGGAAATTTGTTAAAATATCTGATGAACGGGCCACATAGGCAACAAGAAGGGCATAATGTATGAAAATATATGACCAACTGCAACAAAAGAGCAGCAGTATTAGTAGATGAAAAACTGCACATCCAAGCTACATACAGAATTCATAATTTGGTTTTTACTGCTAGATTAGGTGCTTGGACCATTAAGGATGACCAAAGTGCAAACTTAACACTTCCCATTAGATTTAACAGCGCATATACATGCCACTAAGGCTATGTTTTCCAGAATATAAATGTTTATAGTTAATTTTTTGCCAGCTAAACTTGCATTTTTAACATCTCACACACACAGCACCTACTCACCAACGGCAGCCCACCCACCCCTGCCATTACACACACACACACACGACATCCACCCATCAAACCATCTCACACAGACACCTCCCAATGGCCCACCGCGGCACCGCCACCACACACAAATAAGCACTCACATACACCACCATACCCATTGCCCCTCGTCAGTCGTCACAGCGAATCTATCCACCACACAAAACCAAATTTTGATCACACATTTTTAAGCAATTTGGGATCTGGGTTTCAGAATTATTAGGACTTATAATTTTCTACTCAATTTGTGATGTAGGTTTGAGAATTGTCAGTGGGTTTGACAAAAGGGTTGTAAGTGGGGTTTGGGGTTTTGGATATCATGGTGAAAATTCTCTCTCTCTGTGTCTCTCAAACTATAGACGGTTTTTTGTTGTTCAGGATTTTGATTTTAGTTTATGATGGTGGCCAAGCTCCCTCATTACATTTCTCTCTATGGATACGTATATGCATACACAGCTACAATGAAAGGATATTGGAAAAAATTTTGATCGATTCTATTACCCTTGAAAAAATGCGTAAACATAATAATATATTTTTACACCTTTTGATGACTCAATTAATATTAAGAAACTAGTCATAACTCATTCCTGAAGATACCATACAAAATAAAATTTGAGCATCCAAAAAATAAATCCCAATAATCAAATAACAATTTTTCTTTCCTTACATTTCTTTAATTTCATAATTTGAAATTAATTTCTACCCATTATTTTTAAAAACAATTTCTCAAAATGCATGATCTCAAAAAATATCAATACGTGTACACTATCGTATCTGAACAATGTTTGAAATAAAAATTGTACTGAGTCACAAATTAATCAAAAATTAAATGATTCAACTTGTGATAGAATGAGTGACATGATAGAAATGAGTGAGAAAAATATGTGGGGAAAAAATTCAAAGTGTTACGTATCTTATTAGATAGATATTTCATCTACACCCCTTATATATTGTCACAACTTGAAAGACACCTCTTGTATTTTCTGAGTTTAACTGATGCCCCCCGTCACCATTTGTTGATTAAAAAATGAAAAGTTACTTTTATCTACATTCTTCGTAGATTGCCTTAACTTCAAAGACACCCCCTCATAAATTGAAATTTGACTAATATTTCCTATTAGCATTTGCCGATTATCATAACGTCACTGCTACGATACTGGAAAAAACTTTTGATAGACTAAATTACACTTGGAAAAAATAGATAATTCAATTAATAATAAGGAAAATTCCATCTATATTCCTTGTAGAACGTCATAATTTCCAAAACATAGCTCCCATTATCTGAAATATGTCTTATACTTCGAGTTACAATCTGCTGGTAAATAGTTATAATGTCAATATATGTTCTACATATTTTCCCATACATTCTACATATATATGCATAATATCAGGATATTTGGAAAAAAAATTATTGCCTTTATTATCCTTGAAAAAAAATAAAGACAACACTATCCTCGTATACGTTTTAAATATTAAGAAACATTTCACGAACATCCCTTGTAGATTGTCATCACTTCAAAGACACTTCTTGTGTTATTTGTTGCCTTCTGTCAATATCTATTGGTTAGTAGATGTAATGTTCATGTATATGTTACTTAGTTACATATACATGCATGCCTCTCATCAAGGCCTCGACAGATCTCACTTGAACAATTAGCCCCGACACTTCATGAGCAAAAATCAGATAGATATAAGACCTTGTCAAGTGGGTTTGATCCCTTCTTTGAGTAAAATGAGCATAATCAAATTATGAAATACATTGGCCTGACTGGTGGCTTTTCCCTAATGCAGTCAATTATTGGAAACTGTCCAAGTACCCATATTTTTGTGCTCACATAACGGATAACAAATATAGAGTGCACAAAAGATATTACAATCAATATCTTGTCCACCAAAGTCTTCTACTATTAAAAATATACCTTTACCCTAGGAAGTACACACTTAATTTTGGTCAAAATGTCGTTGTTGGACACATCTGGGACACGGACACACTCAAACACATGTCGGACATGCTAAAATGAGTTTCCAATTTTTTTATTGTTATATTTTTTCCCACACACGTTGGGGACACTGGTTTTAACTTTTTTTCAATTTTTGAAAACTTGTAAAGTAACTTTAAAAAAAATATATTTTTATAATTTTAAAAAGATAAAGGTCAAAGTTATAGTATAAAAGAGTAACAATCCCAACACGAACATAGGACACGATATAAACATAATTTTGGACACGATTATGAAATTATAGACAAATGAATTAAATATTTTATATAAAAATAATTTGATGAAAAATAAGATTGTGAAATTATAACTTTTTGAAATTGAATGAAAATTAGGATTACAAAGTGAAATATTTTTGAAAATAAAACATTGTGTGATCATTGATTGTTGGATCATGAATGTTTATGATAAATGTAATATCTGATTTTTTTTTTTAATTCAACGATATTGTGATGTGAATTGTTTAAATTAACATCACGGATGAATTGAATGATTACCATTAAAATATATTTATTTTATCATATGATCATTGATCATATACATATATAAATAAATATGTAATATTTAGCATGTCCCCTATCGTGTCCATGTCCTACTTTTCTGGAAAAATAGCGTATTGGCGTGTCCGTGTCTTTGCTTCTTAGTAAATAAATTTCTTTGACATTAATTTATGCACACAACAGATGATTAGGAATTACATTAGTGATAGTTGGCTTATTTAACAGAAAAATTATAACAACTGAATTACCAAGTAGTTTGTACCCCAATGGTCCCAAGGGTTCTCATAGCCATTGATACCTGAAATCAGCCACAAGAAAGTAGGTTTTGAACTGATCAACATTGTTTTTTGCTCTTGGCATGATATAAATCTAAATTAAGCATCCCAAGTTAACATTACCAAAATTCACCCCAAAAGATTAAAGAAATGAGCTTTTAAGATTTAATCATCTGCCAATAAAGTTAATCCTTCTAACTCTCATGATTCTAAATGTCAAACTTTAAATTTTGCAATAGCGAGTTTCTAGAAATTGAGCGAATTCAAAAGGTGACTGTGAAGAAAATCTGTATTTGTAGATATATATTCTAACCCATGCAAGAAAGAGGTGAAATTAATAAGCGCCGTTTATATATACCAGTCATGCACAACGTACATTGCACGTGACAGTTTTCGTTAAAACATTTGATAAAATACATAAAAATTTAATAATATAGCTAAATTAGATATTATCTCATGTTTATCATACTTAAATTATTTGTATTGTGGATGAAGAAAAAAAGATACATATAGTGATCTTTTTGGCACCGAAGATGATATTGTATCAATAAAATTGTTGATGTGTATTAATATTGGGATTTAAAAAAAAAAAGAATAATGTTTTTATATATCCTATTAAAAGTAACACGTTCATCTAAAAGTTTTGCAAATATAGAATGATTTACATGATATGGTAGAGGTTAGTTGGTTATTTAAGTATAGAGGGGGGATAATGGTAATTTGCATATTTAAATACAAAAGGATATGTTAGCCTTTATAGTTTCTTATAAGGGTAAAATAGTGAATCAAAAATTTTTTATATTAAGGTACTTTTATTAGTAGTATAGACAGATATGATTCACATTCTCTACTTGCTTTTGAGCACCTAAATTTTCCTTCATTCCGACGGTGAATAAGAACAATATTTATCATCTTCTGTTACTCACATCTTCCACTATTTCCAAAAAATGTGCTTCCACTACATGTAGCAAAAAGAGTGCAAAATTCAATGAAGTTTTAATTGTGAGCGATTACATATTAATTATTATCAATACTCTGCCCTCTTGAAGAAAAAAGCATTGTAAGCGTACATGTGCAAAGCATTGCAAGCTTGGAGTAGATAAAGCACAAAAAATTACCAATGACACACCACCAGAACCCAGTTCACACATTGTCTTCACATTTACTTCAGCAATGAGCAGTCCACTCACAACCTGCATCAATGTGCTTGTCCTACCAAATTCAATCACAGTTTCGCAGAGAGGGAAGTAGAGAAGAACAACAGGAGAGTAAAATAGGAAAAACTAACAAATTGCACGCTGGGATAAATTCAAAAATCAAATGTGAAGTTCAATGACTTAGCATCAGTAAGAGGTGTGTTTCATTTCATCGTAAATCAGAGTACAACACTTGGCAGTTAGCACTACACCTAAACAAAATTTTCCTTATTCCAAGTCACATTAGAAAGACCAAGTTATTAACAGGGTTGACATATGCAAGATATATATGGAAAATACCGTGTGTTAGACAAATGAGTAGGCTAAATAAATGTACAAATAAAAAACAGCAGAAAACTATTAGGCTAAATAATTACCATAAATGCCCAACAAAGAATGCAGGTAACTGCAGATGCCAGAAACCCAGCTTCTTGTGTCACTGCAGGTATTGCAAGGATCCCTGCACCTACCTATGTGTGGAAAAACCATTGTGACACACAAAATCAATGTTAGTTGCTAGTCTATATTATCAAAAATAAAAAAGACAAAACCAGCTGAGTTTGCAACAGTGTCACATGTTTTCTAATTCAAAAATTTTATCCTTCCCATAATTGGCAATTGCCTAGATTGTTTGACGTTGTATGTCCCACCTTTGAGACTCACCTCCCCTCCGCTCAGCTTCGCTAGTGTTTGATTTCCCGTATCTTCACTATTTAATAAATGAAAAAAAATTCATCCACATTAAGGAGAACCCCTGTGAGGTTTAGTGCGCTTAACAAGGGTCCTCAGGCCCTTCTCTAGTCAGCCATTGACTTGGTAGTGTGGCTTGTTGTACCCCACCTTTGAACCTCATTTTGCCTCCTCTCCACTTCTATTTGGTTTCGTTTATCCTTATGTGCAACTTCTAATGATCAACAAAATTTTAAAATTTCCTGAGGTGAAAACCATAGACAGCCAAAGACTTTTTCATAACTGTGTTCTTCTTTCTGATTTTCCTAATATGAAACTGTTTTCACTATTTCACATAAGATCCCAATTGGGAAAAAAAATCCTTTGCAAGATAAAATCTTGGATGAGGTTAGGATCATATTCTTTTGAGGCATATAGCAGAGAGGGCGAACCTAGGTCTATACCTGGTAAGAAACACGAATTTTGTTCCAGTTCTTGCCTCAAATACCGCTCAACACCACCCAGTAGGGCATGGGCATCTATATACAACTAATGGGAACTTTTTGCACAAATTACAAGAGAAAAATAGCAATTTTAGAAGTACAATCGTTTAAGAATCTGCGAAGTCATTGCATTTTGAGAATACTACATTAAACAGACAAATGAGTGAATATTGAATATGTTTGTGTGTGTGTGTGTGTGTGAGTGGGAGAGAAGGTATACGGTGGTGCCAGCGACTAGGAAAATAGCACTGATAAGGCTTCCTGCGAAACAGTAATGAAAAATCGTGATCAGTAAAACTTTAAAAACATGAGGAGAACTAGAAAAATAAGTGTGAAATATATGCACCAGGTTCTCCCTTCAGAGTAGCTTGATTGAGATTGGAAAATAGCCTCTCGAATTGAATTTCCCCTTCTTCTGCGTCTTCTTCTTCTTCTTCTTCTATTTCTTCTTCGTCTTGTTTTTGGGTGGATTGCCTCTGTGAGAAGCATTTTTTTACAATCTGGATGGTAATTAGAGGAGAAAATGCAAAGTTTGTGCACGAAGACAGTCTGTGTAGGGTTGATATTTTGGTTATGGGATGATGAAGAAGATGAAGAATTGGAGGAGAAGTATGGTTCGAGCTCGAAGATAATAGTGGCGGGTACTTGCGAGATGGGTTTGAAATGCAATTTTTTGAATGCAACAGAGGAAGATAAAAGGCCATTGATGTTCGGATGTCCTTAATTCGTTTTGGGCAGAGAGAGAAAGAGAGAGAGAGGGAGAGAGGCAAAGGACACAACACACAAATCTCTGCTTTGCTTTGTTTTAGTGCATGATAAAGTGGGCCCGATTTTCTTCTTTTCTGGTTAACGTATTTATATCACGTTATTATTGATGTTTACGTTAAATAATTGGGTTAATTGTATTAAAGGTCTCTGGGTACAAGTTTGTCTTATCGTGGTGTGTAATAATTTAATTATATTATTTTAATCTATGAAATATTAATATCTATATAATAAAGTACAATATAATTAAAATCTCAAAAAATAAATAAAATGACTTTTGTTATTCGTAATTGAGATATCTTCAAATTTTACTTTAAAATTAATCTGACGACTAATATTAATACTCTAAATTTAATAGGGAAAATAAGCTCCTAAAGGTGTTCGGGGTGACTTTTTATAAATATTTTAATGTTTATAAATTTTTATAAGTATTTTAAAAAAAATAGTATTTGAAACTGCCTCATCAACACTTTTACTACTATCACCACCCCCACCACTATCACCACTACCACCACTAACACCCCGCCACCACAATTGTCACC